AAAAATGAAAAAATCTTATTTCTTTTAAAGATGCAAATACTACCTCTGTCAACTTTCAGCAATGTTTTGTTTGTAATAAGCAAGTCCAACTTGTACAAATTAATCGCTCTATGCGAAAAGATTTGCTTGAAATGTTTAAACCACCAACTTCGTTTGTTGGAGATTCACTCAAAAGAGCAAAGAAAATTATTGAATTTCAATCTATGCATCATCAGAGATTGTTTAAATGTCTTCAAGAACGAGTATTTTTTAAATTTATTTTTAAACAAAAAAAATTTAGAACCAAAAGAGTACCTCGCATCTCAAAAAAATATTAAAAGAATTGGATGAAAGAGAAGGGCGAATAAAATTGTTAGTAAGAGAAGGTGATGAATACAAGTCTGAATTAGAAAATACAAAGCGAACAATTACAGAATTGCGAAAAAGGTTACTTTAATTTATTCTTTTAAATATAAATTATTTAAAGGATCTCTGAACGCGAGAAGGAACTTCATCGTTTAAATCAAGTGCGTCAATCAGCTAGCAGTCAACAGCGTATGAGTTATAAACGAATGGGTTTGTTTAACTTTTTTGTTATGAGAATCGGGTCTGCTTTTCGAAATTAATTCGCTGTTAGATTACTCGGGGCCTATTTAATATTTTCTCTGCTTTAGATAAATATTGAGAACATTTTAAAAGACTGAACAAGTATTAGCTTTATTCGATAGTTACATTTATTTCTTTATCTATTAAAAACATTTTCAAAAAATTAAATAATCTTTCTTTTTTCAGCGATCCAAAATGCGATGGACTCAAGATATACAACTTCTGGACTTTCATTTTTAGGTGGAGGAGAAAGGGTACAAATTTCACAATTTAATAATACTTATAACGCAACTCAACAAACGGTTTTGAATTAAAAAATATTTTTTAAATTTTTTTCAGAATAATTTTCAATTAAATATGCAACATGTTGGAGGAAGTACTCCTTTAAATAATCTTTTGCCGTCAGATTCGCGTCCAGATTTGAATCTTCAAAATCTTATGAATACTTCTACAGAAGATGCTTCTGCCGTTGTTCGTGGAAATATTGGAAGAGGTTTACAAAATACAGCAACTCTTTTGGGGTTTACGAGGTTTTTTTATATTTTTAAAAAATTTTGAATTTAATTTTCTTCTGGATTTGATTGCGAGTTCATGAATTTTAAAAATCCTTGAGCTACATAAATAACCTGGTCAAGGTTCGGGACCTTTAGTCTGTGGAAACTAAAGTCCAGTTTTAGTCAAGTAAACTAAAAAATGGTTGTTTTCCACTAAGGAGCAATCCATATTTTAACTATATAATATTTAAAGAGAGTAATTCCTAATTCTTTGAAAATTCATTTTGATTTTCCCTTAATGTGATTAAAAATCTCGAAATTTAAAATCAAAATTATTGCTTGATTAATTTTATTCTTTCTACATTTCAGGACGACTGAATCAACTGATCGTGACTTTTTTTGATTTTTCTTTTATCAAAATGTTAAATTAGATTTTTAAACTCAATTTATATATTTAATTTTATTAGTGATTTAAAATTTTGTTTTGTAAACATGAAAGGTTCTTCTTTTATTTTATTTTTGGTGATATCGTACAAATATTTTCTGATTTACATGTGTTGTTTGATTATTTTTCTAATTTTTTTACGATAATTGTTAGAACATAATGTTTTTAATGACAAATTTTTTAATTAAAAAATTTTTATAAAATCAAATGTCCCAGAACTTTATTCGACTTTATATTAGAAAAAATCAGCTTATAAAATTTTAATTTTCTAATTTATAAATTTTCTCCTTTTGCTATTGCTAAAAGTGTGTTAGTTCTATTGCGGATTTTATTTCTTTTTTCGTTAGTCATTTTTAAACCAATTTCTCACTATTTTGTACATTCTATGGAAGAAAATGTCTGCAAAAAGTTCTTAGGTATAATAGAAAAATGCCCCCTGATCTAAATAGTTTAATTTCTTCATTCGTTTTTCTTTAATAATTCAAAATATTCCCCCAAAATATTTTGTAATAAAAAATAATCTTTTCCTTCTTTATTCAACAAAGCATTAAGAACAACATAACATGTCCCGCCCTCTTTTTCTAAGTATTTATATATTAACTTAATGTAATTCATTATAATTTTGTTTTTTTAATAATTTTTTTATGTTTTTCCACATAAATAAAAGTTGAATTAAGAATTTTATTTAATTACATATCATATAAAATTAAATAAAATTGTAATAAAATATAAATTACACTTAATATCAAAACAAAAAAATTACCAAAATTTGGCTATTGTGGTTTAGATAAAGTTTTTAACATTCCCGGACTCAGAACTAGCACTTTTTAAATAGATTTTGTAAAAATTTAAGTTATTAATTTTAATACTAAATTAATTTCATAAAAATTTAAAAACTCATTAATTATTAAAATATTATGTATTTTTCTTCTAAATTTAGATTTATTTTAAGGAAATTTTCATTTTATTATTAAATTATCAAAGATTTTTCTGATATTTTTTTTGAATTTAATTCCACAAAATGGCTAAAGAAGGATCTTCAAATTCTGATTTCAATAAAGTTATTAATTTAAATTATTTGTTAATGATAAGTTTTAGAAGTTGAGTTAGGCAATCCTTTTAAAATGCCAACTTTTTTCCCCGATATATTCAATTTTATCATATTTCTTAAAAATCTTCAATTTATTAAAATTTTAATTCCAGGAAATTCAACAAATAATTAAAAATCAAATTAAAAATTTGGAAGAAAACCTTCAGAAATCAATTATTGAGAAAATTCAAGCAAATGTAAATATATTATATTTTATGTATTAGTTTAAATTAATTTAAATTTAGAATAAAGAAATTATTAATCATTTGGAAGTTAAACTTCAAAACAAATATGGCAATGAAATTTCTGCTTTAAAGCAAGAGAATGTTAAATTAAAACTTGAATTGGAACAAAAAAATAATTTGAGTCTGGTTAGCTATAATATTTTTATAAATATTTAAAGTTTTTTCTAAAGAATTTTATTCAAATTAAAAATAAATGGACTGAGATTAAATCTAAATGTTGTGAAAAGGAGTGTATAAATACTGACAAACCTGTTGGTAATTGTATTGAGGGAAATGGATTTATTAATATAATTGATGGTGTAAATATTAAATATATTAATTGTGTTGGTAAAGGTAAATTAATTAATGAAAATTTAATTGTTTTATTAAATATTTTAGTTGAAGCTGCTGGTGTTACTGCTGAAAATAAATTTAATAAACCAAAGAATGATTGCATAAATTATTCTTTGTTTTATTTTGAAATTAAATGTAAAATTGAAGGAGTGAAGAGTGTTAAAAATTGGATGGCTATTGGTCTTCACAATGGGAATAATACAGTTAAATTGGATATTGATGAAGCTTTTATTCGTTATGAATCTAAAAACAAACATATTAAATTTAAACTTCCTTCCTTTTCTTGGAATGATGGAGATATTTTTGGTTTTGGGTTGGTATATCCACCAAATAATAAAATAAATGAATTACCATATGTTTTCTTTACTCAAAATGGAAAATTAATTGGTAAATATCAACGAATTTATAATATCAATGAAACAAATGTTTGGAAACTTTTATTAATTTAAATATATTTAGGTAAATCTTTATTATTGAAAGACGATAATTGTGACAATTATGAAATTTGTGCCCATCTAAAACGTTGTTCTATTGAAGCCAACTTTGGAAATGATTTAAAGGCTAAGCCATTTGTTTATAATATCAACGAACATTTAGCGCCGAAAGAATTTTATGTTGATTCTGATGGTTCTGAATCTTCTCTTGCTAGTAAATTTTTAGAGATTTTTAATTATTAAGGAAATTAAAAACAAATCTCTTAATCAAAATTCCCAATGGAAAATACAAAAAATATATTTAAGGTATGATGGCATCGATGGCGGCAAAAGCGATGGTTAGACTGTTGTCAGATTGATTGAGGGATGAATGCGTTTAAAACGATTTTATTTAAATGAAATACTGATTTTTAAAAAATTATACAGCTTTTTAAATTTTTTTTTAAATTTACATATTTTTACATAATCCATTTTAAAAATACATAAATTTACTTACATTAAACACATATTGATACTTGATTCGTCGGGATCGGCCTTCCTTCTCATAATATAACTACCGGAAATATCGTTTTCGGATTTTAAGTCATTTCTATGAAAATAACTTTGATATCTAAACATTTTGTTAGTGAATATAATTTCGAAAATATAAAATTTTTGATCAAAATATCAGAATTTTGTATATAAAAATTCTGATCATGAGGAATTACTTTTTTTATAAAATACTTAAGTATTTTTCCTATTACCGTTCTCATTAACCTTACAGAAAAATTTGAAGATTACATTTTTTGATAATACACTAACACTAATTATCTATTTAAAAATTTTCTAGACAATATTAAAATTTAAAAAAGCAAAGAATATATGTATTGTTTTCTCTTTTAAAAAATGCACATTTCGAAGTGTATATGACCTGTAATTTTGATAAAAAAATATTTTTGTTGGGATAATAATAAATTGGGATGATACAAATAAAAATTAGAGAAAAGCAAGTAATAAAAAACTAATTTTTGAGAGTAAAAAACAAAACAAAATTACAAACATTAACTAGCTAGTGCTTAGAAATTAAAGTCTCATTAATTTCTAATCTTTGAAAGAACTAGCAAATTGTAATAAGAGTTACTATGGTTAGGTATACATTATTTTTGGGGAAAGAACTAAAAATTAAAATATTTTTCAATGATTCTTGTATTTAGGTGTTTTCCATACAATGTAAAAATTGTTAATTCTTAATTGAATTTTTAATATTTTTTGAATATGACTAGAAAATTTTAAGGCGAAAATGTTATGTACATTTAAAAGATACTTTTAAAATTCTTTCCTTCATTACTTCAATTTGAGCAATTTTTAATAAAAACATCAATGTAAAATTACTTATTAACTTAAGGTAACATTGTGACCATTATTTAAATCAACCAATTGTTCTTGTTGAATTGTTCGAGTACGTCGAACTAAAATTTTTTATGTATAGGGAGAAACAAAGGTTATCCTTTAGTACCCCTTGATTATTGAAAATCCCATTTTAAACAAGGAAAACTAGGAAATAGCCGTTTAATTTTGTCATTCTTTAAATATTTTTATATCCTCCCAATATCCCTACTAAAACACATAGTACTTACGAGATTTTCTATGTAACACTCTCGCCCTTCTCCTTCCAGCTTCACGCGTGTCAGTCTGCGCCGTCACAGTACGAACAACCCCATCAAGCAATTCATCATTATAATCATCCCCACCAACAATTTCTGCAGCATTAATTGGCCTTTGTGATGGTCTAGTGGTTCCCAATTTTTTTCGAGTTAATGTTTCATCCCCATTGGTTAACCCTCCACCACCCGTTAACAGACGAGACATTTCTTGGTGTCTCTAAAAAATTAAGAAAAAATCAAAAAACAATCCAACTATTTACCTCTTTATCAGTCATTAATTCAGCACCCCCTTCCTTTGCCCCTCTACGTTTATTTATTACATTTCCAGCAACATTTTGTGCAGCTCCAATCATCATTCCCCTTGTTTTATTCCTTTCACGTTTATCAGCCAAACGTTTACGTGTTTGTAATATTTTATCTCTAGCTGTTCGATATTCTAATGCAAATTCAATAACCATTTTAAATACATTTACAGGTTTTTGATCTTTAACTTCGCTTGGAGAATAGCCAAAATAAAGTAGAAAAGCATTCCATCTATGAAAATTATAAGAAATATTAAGAGGCTTTATTTTAAATTTTTGTTAAAGCCCGTGGTCCTCAATTTCTCTTAAGTTTTCAGGAATAAATCTTCGTGGAGTGGAATTTTGGGGAATGCGTTACTTAAAAATATCCCTAAAATTGGCGGTTTCTGGAAACTCCTAATAAAAAAAGTTCGGAAATCCAAGCTTATTTGCTTGCGGATTCAGAATCGCAACCCTTACCCTACCCTTACAAACACAAATTCTCTCACCTATGTGCAGTAGTTCTTTGAACATGTTTAAGTCGATGAATACGTTCAGCTACTTCCGTAAGAAAATCATTGACTTTCTTTTTCATTGAACTATTATTATCTTTTTGTGAGATTTTAGCAACATAATCAAAACAATTTTTGCAATCTTGTTCCATCTTTTTGAGATTATCAAAAAATGCTTCAAAATCTAACTAAAATTAAAAAAATATTTCTGTTTGAAAAAGATGTTTCTTACTCTCGAACTTCTAGAAACAGAACCCAATTCAGAATACATATCACTTCCCTCTGTATAATGGTCAATCATATATTCTGCCAAATGATGTGTTAAAGGATATTTATGTACTGGATCTTTAACTTCTGAAGCACGAGATAAATAATCCAATTGAAATGCTTTTATCTTTAAAAAGATGAAAAATGAGGGAGAATATTTAAATAAATACATCTGTGCCATTCAAAGCATTTCCAATGGCTAAAAGCATTCCCATTGCAGCACGGAAAGTTTTTGATTCTTCCACCTTAATTATTAATATGCATATCAAAATCAAAATTTTTTTCTGATTCTAAATTTAATTTCCCTATGATTTTTTTGATCCGATATATTTAAAAATTTAAATTTATTTCCTTCACCTGTTTCATAGCATTATTCCATTCCATTAAAGCATCAGCAACTTCTTGCTCCACATTTTGATAATCCAACATAAATAACCACAAACGTAATCTTTCCAATAAACAATCAATTTCTGATAAAGAAAGCATAAATTGTTCAGCAGGTCCAAGGGGAGTATCTGGCTGTTCTGCTTGGGCTTCGCGAATTCTTTCAACTTCTTCTAAACTTGGCATCATTGTTGAAAGAATTTTTTCAATTCCTTCTTTATTTAAAACTGTTGCATCAAATTTCTAAAAGAAAATTTTTCTTGAAGTTTTTTTATTCCTAAACTTACTCTAATAGCTGTTGGGATGACATTAACAGGGGGCAATTTAGTTAATCCAATATTGATGGCTTGAGAACGTTTGACTGACAATACTTGTAACATTTGTGGTTTTGATTCTGTTCCAGTCTTCTTAAAATAAATTTTTAAATATAATTTTCCTACAAATAACACCACCCACCTTAACAACAACTTCTTTCGGTTTTTGTTCAAAAAGTCTAGCCAACTTTGTTGTATCAATCTGTGCTGGCTGTCCAGATACTTTTGACCAAAATGTTCCTTTTCTTTTTAATGCAGGTACTGGAGGGGCTTCGTGTTGAGCTTCTTTCCAATGTAATTTAAGCAAAGAATTTTTAGAAGAAGATGGGCCTGGGGAAGGCTCTCGAAGTGAACGATTTCCTGAGCCTGGAGCTTGAAGGCCCATTGGTGGTGGTGGAGGGACACCTCCAGCCATTGGAGGAGGTGGTGGTGGAGGTGCTCCAACTGTGAAATTTTTAATAAAAAATATTTATTAAATATTTAAAATTAATTTTAAAAAATTAAAATTAGATTATTTCTGAAATAAAATTAATTTAATTACCTAATGGTGGAGGTGGAGGAGGTGCTCCACCGCCGCCAGGCAACAATCCCCTATCCTGTGCCATTTGCGCCATTTTAGTTAAAACAAGAGGATCTTGTTCAAAATCAGAAATAAATTCTGAGAAGTCTAGATCGTTAATTATCATCTAAAAATTATTTTTCAACAGTATTTTCAACGAAAAAACTGACAGGTTTCTCTTTAAGTCTTTCCCCAGCTTCTTTCCATTTCTGCTCAGATTCCGAAGCTTTAGGTTCAACCAATTTTCGAAGATTTGATCCACTCTCCATTTTCTTTGCCCTTCTTTGAAGCATTGCTGCAAACCCTCCACCGCCACCTCCATCATCATCATCAGCAATAATTACCTTAAATAATTAATTTTTAATATTTTTATTTTAATCCTTTTTTCCCTCACCTTTTTAGGTTTAGAAGGCTCAGGTGGAGGCGGTGTTAATTCTTTAACTGGTGGAGGTTCAGGGAAGTCCATACTTTTGTGTTCAGTTGGAGAGAATATATTTGTTGGGATCATTGGAGGGGGTGCTTTAACGGGAGGAGGTTTAGTTTCTTCCGGTGATGAAGGCTTAAAAAATAAAGAGATTTTTAATCTATATTTAACGTTATTCTTCCCCTCCCCCAACCTCATCAATATTTTCCTTTTCCAATTCCAACTTTTCAGGTTTTATAATATTCATTTCAGATATTTTCTGTTGTTTTTTAGCTTCGATATTTAAACTTTGTTGGAATTTATCAGCCATTTCATCCAAAGTTGCATTCATTTCCAATCTTTGTTTTGAAGGTTCCACCACTATTTGTTTGTGTAAAGCACTAGTTCCATTAGTTAATATTTGTTGGTGTTTTGGTGTTTCTTGTAGTTTTTGTTGTTGTTCTTCAATTTTATTATTAAATATTTTTTTAGCATTTTGTTGTTGACGAATCATTATTTCTTCGTGTTCTAATTGTTTTTTGCGCATTTGATTACGCCGATCAGTGGCTACAGCATTTCCGTTTAATCTATTTTTTGATTAAATTTATTTAGAGTTTAAAATTTTTAATAATAGATTGCCTCAAAATTAGAGTTGTTTCCTGACCCAAGGAGATAAGAAATTAAAAATCCCCTTCCAATTCCCGTGTTGATGAAAAATTTTTTCTACCCCCGTCCTCTGAAGTAAAATGGAATAAAAATATTATTCTACCCTTCCTTCATAAATAATATAGGACATTTTAAATTATTATTATAGAGGTCGAGGCATTTTATAATTACTTTAACATATCAAATTTATATAGAAATATAAATTACCTCATTTTGGCCACACAATTTTGCGCGCCATTAGAAGCCCCTCCACCTAACGAAGATGTATCGCTTTCAATAGCGGCATCTTCCCTTCTCAATTCTTGTTCATATAAAGCACATTGTTGGCTTAATTGGGTATTGTTTAATTTGCAAAGGGTGGCTAAAGAATCATTCATTCCTTGACTTTCGAGAGCTTCAATTGCATCAAAATATGTATCCTTTTATTGAAAATTTATTTTTAAACAGACTCGTTTAATAAATTTACTTGATCAGGAACTCCATGTAAAGTTTTATTTATTACAGTCATTCCAAAAACAAGAGTTTCGTGATCGCTGGCCTGAACATCATTTAAAATTCGCATAAGGCTGCACCAATCTGGTTGGTCTTTAAAAGATTAATTTTAAAAATAATTTAAATTTAAAATTATTTTCAAACTTTTTCCTCTCTCCACTTTCGAAATAGCCGCGAGAAAAAGAAGAGAATTAGGTTCTGTATATTCAACAAAAACTAAAAGCAATTTTAACGCTGTTTTGACAACAAGTCGGTACTAAAAAATAAAAAATAATTAAAAAACCCCAAAAATATATTTAATAAAAACAAAATAAAAACAACAAAAAATAACAGCAAAAACATAAAAACACGCACCCAAGAAACATGTGGAGTACTGAGTGAACGAAAGTTTTGTTTGTCATAGAGCTGAAAAGTTTTAGATAAAAATAAGAAGCATTTTTAAAAACAAAAATAGGCAGATTAAATCAACACATTAGGTATGTACACCCTCGGGGGACTAAATTAGAATATTTAAGGTCATAATTAAATATTTAATTTAAAAATATTTTTTAATTCCCCCATTTTTAAAAAATAAAATTGGAAGTAAAAAAAGTTAAGAAAAAAAGCACAACCAAAAAATATATGATTGGACAAAAATAAAATCAAAAGGGCATTTTTGAGGTAGCGAAGAAAATACTACTATTTTGTTTAAAAACAAGTATTGAGAGGAAAATGGAAAACACGTTCAAACCAAAAAAAATTTTTTTAATTAAAATTTTACTTAAAATTAACTAAAAATAAGCAAAAAAACAAAATTACTAAAAAATTTAAAAACAAAACTTACAGGAGAATCTAGCAATTCATATAACCAACAAATTGTATCATTATGAGCAATTACTCCATTCATTCCATCAACATAAAGCATTAACTGCCCCAAAGCTCTTAAAATGTGATTTTGATGGTTTTGATCACTTCCACGGCCCTAAAGAAATTTTATAGTTAATTTTATCATAAAAGAGGGCTGTCTATAAAATAGAGGTTAGAATCTTTTAAAAAATTCCCCACCAATTTAACAAGTGCTTCAAGGCCCCCATTTTGTACAAAAGCATGTACAAGGTCCTTGTCTTCCTGAAAAAGGCTCTTTAAAGTAAAGAGAGCCCCTCTCTGTTCTCGTCCAGAAGTGTAAAGTAATTTCTCAATTATTGCTTTGACTCGTAATGCTGGTTGTTGACGTAGTAATAAAGTTGTATGGATTCTAAAAATTTTTTTAAATAATTTGGAAAAAATAATTTTTTTGTTCAATTATTTATTCACAAAATTTTAATTATAGAGCAAGGGGAATTAATAAATAAATAAATACATATGTATATTTCTAAAAACTAACCCCAACTCATTATTATTATTAACATCAAAATCAAAAAGTTCATCTCCTAAATTAGTTTTTCTGTTTCTCCTTTTCTTCTTTTTCTTTTCTGATTTTTTATCCTCAATATTATTTTCAGCTTTAATTTCATTAACAAAATTTATTTTCTCTAACAATTCTCTTTCTCTAATTTTTTCTTTATTTTCTGATATTTCAGAATTAATAAATTCTGATGAATAAATGTTTTTATAAACATTAATGTTTTGTTCAAATGTTTTATGTTTCTCTAATTGTTGTATTTGTAGCCGTGTTTGTTGTTTTTGTTGTTTTTCTTCTTCTTCATTTCTCTTTAATTGTTCAAATGTTTTTTCTGTAGCAAAACTTTTATTAAAAGCAGCAACATTAAAAATGTCTTTATTATCGTGTTTAACACCAATTTGTTCACTTTCAATAAATTCTTCATCAATATAACGAAGTTTTTCGGTATTTGGAAGAATTCTCGAATTTTTATAAAAATCGTTAGAAATTCCAAAACGTCGATTAGTTAAACAATCAGAAGAATCAAAAATTCTGTTTGTTGTTTTGTTTAATTCAAAATGGTGGTTGGGTAATTCTGATGTTTCAAATAAATGATGATTTGGAACTTTTCCAAATGGAGAAGAGGAAGAAATTGCAGCCATATTTTAACACTTAATTTTTACCCGAATTTAGGCAAAAAAAGGTAGAAAATATCTCAACTTGAATTTAAAAAATAATTTTCAATCAAAGTTGTTTTGTGTCTCCTCACAAATTTATGAGGATTTTTATAGAATTAAAGAAAAGGGGTCAAAATTTTACAAAAAATTGTCGCTAATTTTTTAGTGGAATTTGTTGATGGACTTGAAAAATAAAAAAAAAGAAATTTAAAAACAAAATGAAAAAAAAAATAATTTTTTTTGTACGCGCAATGCTTGAATAATTAATTTTATTATTTAATGCTGCAAAAGTAAAGAATGCGAGGCGTTGAAAGTTTTGTTTGATTCACAGTTGTGGAATTTTATCGTCGCCAAAATTTCTTTTCTAAATAGTTTGTTATCTCTTTTCTCGTCTTTTCACTTATTTCCAGATATTGTCTGCAATTTTGCAATTATGTAGAAACTTTCTTTTTATTTGTAAAAGAAAAAAAGTTAAAAAGGAATTTGAAGAAGATATATCTATTTAAATAATCAAAAGGTTATTTTATATGTAGAAAAAATGAGAGCATTATGAGTGCAAATAATTGAAAAAATAAAAATAATTTTGAATTTGTTAATTAAATTCTAGGAACAAAATCCTTAGTAGAAAATACATAACAGAAAAATAGAAATGAACATAACCAATTTTTTGTAACCTCCCTCCCCTTCCTTCCCTCATTTTAATTAAATAGTATAATAAAAAATTTTTTAAATAATTAAATATTTTATATTTCATAACTTAAAATACAAAAAATAAATTTTTATAGAAAAAATAACGCAAATTCTTGTGTGCGGCAGTAAAGCAAGAAATTGACTTCAAGGCGTGAATATGGAAAAGATAGGAGAGGAGGACTAGATTTCGGCTGTGCTGCGCATAAGAGGAATTATAAGAAAATCAGGAATTGACTCTGCACGGGTATTTTGAAAAGAATTTTTGGAAAAATGTTGAAGAGAAGGACTCTTGAAAAAAGAAAAATTATAAATATATTCAATAGAGAGGTTATTGAAGGAAGGGGGAAGGTTGTTGCCGTTGGTGCAGGCTATCTTTGAAATTTTTGTGAGGAACAGAAGGAGGAATTTAATAAATAAATTGCACAACCTCATTTTTGCAAAAATTTATTTAAAAAGGATGTTAAGGAAAAAAAGGGGGGAGGTCAATAGAGGTAAATAGAAGTCGGAACTTGAGAGACTATATTACCCAAGATTCCAAAACTCTCTAAAGGATTACGATACCTCCAAAATATTTTTTGGTCAATATTAAAGTAAAATGGACAGTTCTTTGTTTGGTTACTCATTTAGTGGCCAATCTCTACTTATTTACCACTAAACAAATAAAAGAAAAATATTCTTTAAATCATCTGCGCAATCCAACAAAGGAAAAAGATACTAACTAGATTGGCTGTCCATAAATGGAGAAAATATTAAAGTGACAAATGGTCCTTTTGGGGGGAAATTAAAGAGAGAAAAAAGAGTCAAGGAAAGCTGCCCAATTAATTTAACCAAATATACAATCCACAAAAAATTGAGTAAAATATTATAAATAAATATTATTTAAAATATTTAAAAAATATTATAAAATAAAAATTAGTCTTAATTAGACGTTGGAGAAAGAAAATAGATATATTTTAAATTAATAAAAATATTGGTAGGATCTGGCAAAGGGATAGGGCAATACTGGTAATCATTAAGTAGAGATTCGATTAGTAGATTTTGTCAAAGAAGCAATATTTATGTATCTAAGGATAAATATTATAAAGATATACATAAATTGAAAAGAAATATTTTTTATAAATTAACAAAATGCAACAAAAATAATTAATTTTAAATTCAATTATTATACCTATTAATTTAACAATAAAGTTTTTGGACAAAATAACTAGTAAATTAAATTATTATTTACAAATAAATATCTAGTTTTTGCACTTAAAGTACATATATTTATTAATCTGTAGTAAATGTAAAATGACTTTGTCCTAATAAAGGAAAAAATATATTTGGGAGAAATATTTTTATTTATTTTAATTCTTCCCTCAAAAAAATAAAAATGAAAAAAGGATAAACTAATAAGATAAATTCGCTGAAAACATAGATTTCAGAAAAATTAATGTAAAAGAATCGAGAAGAAAACCCTAAAAAATGATTGTATTTTTAGAAAGTGATAAATAAAAATTGAAGAAGATACGACAGATTTTAATTCAAAACAGATTTCTTTTGATTATTTAAAAATAATTTTGTGTTGATGACGAGAAAATGCGAAGTTTTTAATAAAAAAAAGAGAAAATATAAAAAAAGCAGGTCATCATCATCCAATTATTTTTATAAAAGCACCCAAAAATATTTTTTCTGCCACCTTCAAAATAAGGAAAGATGATGGGAGGAGGGGGGATATTCTCTGTTGAAAAATAAATATTTTTAGGAATTGTTCTCTGCGCGAAAAATATTGAAGTGTTTGTGGTACTAAAAAGGATTTAAAAAAGTATAAGAAAAGTGTTTTTGGAATATATTTAGATTTAGTATGTTTTGATGACAAGTTGAATATGTGTAGAATAGAGGGAATTCTAGATGGTTTAAGTAAATATATATATTGTTTGAGTGATCGGAACAGAATAATAAGAAAAAAAAAGAAAATAAAAAGTTTTTTAAATAATATTTATAGAGATAAGGCTTTAGTGAATAAGAAAAAGTGGCATTAAATGAAACTCCCGAGGTTTTGTTGGTATTGTAATGTTTTGTGGGGGAATTTATGAGTGAAGTTGTGAACCAAATTTTATTCCACCCCTCTTTTTCTAATTTCATAACAATTTATTTGGCTGTCAAATGAAATTTAATCCTTAGAGACAAGTTACACAATAAAATAAGTACAAAAGTAAATATATAGTTAGGTAAATGCGTGAATATCATCAAAATCCTTTCATCTCCCCTTCCATTCAATGCCAAAAAGAAAATCAAAAAAATATTTATAATATAGACCACCCAGACAAAACGGACACACGCTTTGCTATTGTTTAGCTTTAGGGATAAATCCATTAGTTGAGTAAATACACAAAGAATAAATAAATATATAATCTATCTATACTAAATAGAAAATGAATAAAAAAGTCACAAAAATGTACTATTGCAAAAATAATAAAAAGTACAAAATTAAACAAAATTTATAAAAAAAGGGTTTATTTATACAGACAGAATCAGTGTTGCATATTAGAGTAATAGCTATACTTTTGAAGGATTATTTAAGATAAGGTGAATAGTGAATCGTAAAGCATATCTCTCTGTTAGCGTGCCTCTCTCCCTATTAAGTCTGTATAATTCGATTTCGAAGTATTTGTTTTAAAGAGATTCGATTGCATAATTTAATAATTCAACTGCAAACAGCTAAAAGTTGCTAATTTATTGTCCAATAAAAAAAGATACGCCCCACGCCCCTACTTAAAAAAGATACGCCCCCTAATAGAAAAATTTCAGGCCGGGATATCCAAAGATTCCCAGGATCGCCAAACTTAGTTTGAAAAAGACCGATTAAAAATAATATAATTAAAAAAAAGTATTTGGATATAGTGTAGTGTACCGGTGGTAAAAGTTCGGGACGTGACATATGTCATTCGATTCGTCTCGACGAGCTGAGTCGAACGGTACCACTCCCTATTTTAGGAAATAATTTTGGACCGAGTTATAGGTCCCGGAAAATTGAAAAACCATAGGGGGGAGTAAGCTCGATTTTGGGGTGAAAAATTCGAATATGCAAATAATAGCTCATTCGAAAAAGCTCCTCGAGCTGAGTCGAATGACACCAAAATCAACAATATCTGACTTGATTGGACCGAATTATAGGCACCTAAATATCGAAGATCCAAAGGGGCAATTTTTGGAATAAAAAATTTTTTATACAAATAATAACTCATTCGAAAGAGCTCGACGAGTTGAGTCGAATGACACCAAAATCACCGTGATTGAACAAGATTAGACAAAGTTACGACACAAAAAACAAGCAACATAAACCTATGGAGAGTCGGCGGGGCGCTTGTGCAAACCCCCGCGCTTCGCGCGGGGGTTTGCGGCACGCGCCTCGCGGGGAGTCTACGGGCGGTAGGTCTGGGCTCGTAACATAAACCTATTCCTATCTCCCTTGCTTTGGGCATACCTGGAGCCTCCGTAGCAGCAAAACCCTCCATGGAGACGTTAGGTAAGGAGCTAAAACAAACGATCATAACTTTGTCAAATCAAGTCGGATTTTGTTGATTTTGGTGTCATTCGACTCAGCTCGAGGAGCTTCTTCGAATGAGCTATTATTTGCATATTCGAATTTTTCACCCCAAAATCGACCTTATTCCCCCCTTTGGTTTTTCAATTTTCCGGGACCTATAACTCGGTCCAGAATTATTTCCTAAAATAGAGAGTGGTACCGTTCGACTCAGCTCGTCGAGACGAATCGAATGACATATATCACGTCTCGAACTTTTACCACCGGTACACTACACTACAGCCAAGTATTTTAAAATTAAATTCAGTAGCTTTAAAAATAATATTTAAACTAATTATTATATCTTTAAATAGGTATTAGAGATATAAATAAATGTATATTACAGAAAAATAAATAAAATAAAATAAAACGTTATTTTTAATTAAAAAATATTTTTTCCTCCTTGCATTACTCCAACAAAAATACTAACCAACCCACTAATTATTAAATCTCTACAAAACATGTATTTATTTATTTACTTTTTTAATTTATTTATATATTCCTTTTTTGTTCTAATAATTATTCTAATTATATTTTCAAAGTTCCGGCTTTTTCAGACAACAAAAATTAATTATTAGAGTGGAAAAGGAACGTTAAAAAAAGAGGGAGAAAATATGTGTACTTGTATTTAAAGAATATATGTATTTATTTAAATTTTAATAAAAAAATTATTTATAAGAGAAAACTCACGGTTCATTTTGCAACAATTCCAATTCCTCAGTTTGTTCACTTAAAGTCAATTCCGAATCCAAATAAGAAGCAAATTCATCTCCATTTTTAATTCCACTACACTGTACTTGAAGGCAACAATCTCCACTCTTTTAAATTTTAAAAATCAAAAAATAATTCTTCCAAATTTCTTCCCTCCCCCCTCCCCCCCTTCTTCTAAAATCCCCCTTTCTTTTATTACCTTATGTGGAGCTCTAAGTAATTTAATTAATTCAGGTAATTGTTCAGAAATAGATCTATGTAGCTGTAGATTGCATTGAATGGGCTTTATAGGCTCTCTGTGAAGACCGGCATTTGTTGAAGAACAACGAAAAGGGTCTATATCGTTGACAAATTGAATACGACATCTTAAAAATATTTAAAGTTAATTTTGTAATTAAAGGAAAGAAAAGGAAGAGATTAAATAAAAATATATTTATTTACTTAATCAGTTCTTGAGAATCAGGTGAAGAGGTTCCATTTTGTGTTGTTGAGGATAGTGTCATTAGAAAATGAAGAAAATTTTTAAAAAATAATTTGAAGTTATTACAATTAAAAATATACTAAAATAAATTTTAAAAAATAAAAATTAATTGAAGAATAAATATGTACATATATGTAAAATCACGAAAATTAATTACAAAACTTTTATTCTAAAATTAAGCGTTCTTAAGCAATTTTGGTCATTAACAAAATAATAAAAATTAAATTTTGAAATACATAATTGTAAAAAATTAAATTTAAAATATTCACAGATCCTTAGTACCTAATTAATTTTAACAAAAAAATAAAAATTAAAGGTAAAATCTAGTAAAATCTTTGAAACGAACTAAAATAAAACGAAGAAAAAATAAAAAATAAAACAAATCAAAAGATTAAAAAATTATATAAAAATATTTTTTTCGCAGCTGCTTTTTGGGTTTTATATTTTTTAACATTTTTACTCTAAAACTCTTTTAAATAACAAAAAAGCTAACAAGCTTTTAAGTTTTTTTTCAGTACGCGTCACATGTGTATATATTTTATATAAAAGTTTTTAAAGAATATTTATTTATTCTTTACTTTTGGCATGAATAAAATAACCGATTGGCCATGAGTGTGTGCTTGATTTTTCACTGATTTTCGATAATAGAAATGAAGGAAAAGAAGGAAAAGCAAAAAAAAGGAGAGATCGATCATGGACTTTTAAAAAATGGTCGAGATTTTGGGTAAAAAATATATTTTTTGTTTATTGTCTATTTAATAAATCCTCCAAACAATTTATTAAGTATTGTTAGACAGAATTTAATGAAATAAGGGAAGAACATAAAATTTAAAAAAATATTCTTAATTTAAAATTAAATGTCTACAAAATTGACAGAAATTAATTTTTAAAAACAATCGGGGGTTTCAAGGTTGCCATAATTCAAAAAATAGGGAGTATTGGGGGGAAGATTTAAATTTAGATAAATATTTTTATAATTCTAATATTTTAATTTTTGGAACAAAATGTTATAAAATAAAAAAAATTATGAGAAAATCTGACAGAGGGCCAACAACAAGCAAAATTATTTGACACAAAATTTAGTGTATATATTACACACACAAATAGAGGATATAAAGGTAAATGAAGGGGGGAGATAAAGGAATGTGTGGAATTAGTAAAAGTCAATCGATCAAGGCCGGAAGAGGTGAAGAAATTGAAAAAAAAGGAAAGTTTTTGTTAAATTAAGGGGGGGGGAATAAAATTGGGAATAAATTTTAGAGAAATAATTTTAATTTTAAAGAAAGTCAAAGGTAAGATAAAATAGGAGAGGAAAAAAATAAAATAAAAATAGATTAAAGTACGTTAATGTTTATTTAATTTAAGAAAAAATATTTTTATATAAAATAAATCTTTTAATTTCCGTCTCCGTTTTGATTGTGTTCACTAAAAACTATCTATCTCTACTATCTAAACATAAAATTCTTGAAAAAGAAAGGAAGAAAAACAAAAAATCCGGTCCTTGATTTTTAGTTGCGGAATTAGAAAAAGTAAATAAATAAAAATAAAAATAAAATTATTTTATACAAAATAAATATAAAGTAAAGAATCCAAAAAAAGAGAGAAACGATTTTAAATATCCAATCGGATATAATAATAATTAAAAATAGAGCCTGGACTGAGACTAAATCTTGTTCAAAAATTTCGGCTATCGAAATCAAGATTTTTTTCGTGATATTGATCTGGATTCTTTTACGATCCTCTCAGTCCGAACTCTAACTAAAATAACTGAAGTGAGGATTATGTAAGGATTTAATATAAATTTTAGAGAAAATTGTTAGGATCAGATATAATAAAAGAACTCTATTTAAAACTTTATTTATTCCAGGCCTGGTAATGCATTATTTCCCTACATGTTGCAGGCTAATAAACATAGAATCATTTGTAATAAATAAATATTAGTCTGGTTGTACTAAATATTTACTTATTTATTTACATATTTAGTAAGCAATGCTACAATCAAAATACTTAAGAAAATTAAAAATTGTTTAAATAGAAAGATTTTAATTTTTGGAGAAAGCTTGTGAAAATTAATTATAAAAATAAATTAAAAATCTATTAGAAAATTAAAAAAATAATTTTAAAAATAATTGTTGAGAATATTGACAAAAAATCTTTAAAAAAAGACAGAAAAAGTAAAAAAAAGGATGAATAATAAAAATTGAAGGAATTTTAGGAATTTAAATAATTTTTAAAATATTTTTTTAATTAAAAATAGGGAAAAAATTGAAAAAAAAAGTTTTGGGAAAATTAATTTATTTAAATAATTTTAGAAAAAAAATTATGTAGAAATTAAGTGATTTGATTATATGAATAGATTTAAGAAATTTAAACTAAAAAACAGAATTTAATTGTTTTAAATATTTATTAAGGTAAATAATTTAAATAAATTTTTTACAAAATTTCCTGAATAAATTCTCACTAAAAAGTTGAAATAACTTTTTTTTAAAATTTTTTTAAACAAAAAATTAAAAAGGATATTTTCCTAACTTAATAAATTTCAAATTTTTTATTCCAAAAAATATTTGGTAATTTATGTAAGGAAAGAATTGATTGGGTAACTTGTTTTGTAATAAAATTAAAAAATATATTTATAATTGAATGCTAATTCAGTCAATTTGCGTGTTAATGTAAGGGGGGGGGTTAGTTTATTATAAAAAAATATTAAATAAATATTTAAAAGTATAATTGGGGGAAATAAATATATTTTCTAAAAAATTGAAAAAGATTAAAGAAATAGATTAGTGCCAGTTTGGAGATATTACAAATATTAGTTATTCAAATATTTGTAATTTATTTCAAAATATTTGTAATTTTTTAACAAAGAATGATTGTAGTGAAATAAAAATAATTTATTTTTAAATTAAATAAAAATTAAGAAAAAGGATATATAAAATTTAAGATTATAAATTTTTAGTCGTCAAAAACAAAGAAATTTTTAACTTTTACTAAAGAAGGTGTTTTGGTGCGCAATAAAAGTAAAAAAAGTAGTAAAATATAAAAAAGGAAAAGAAAAGAAAAAGGAACTTTGATTGACGGAAAAGATTTTAGTACTTTAAAAGTTAAAAATAAATAAATGCATTTACATAGTCTAATAAAATGTAAAAAGAACCAATGATGTGGAAAAGGACAAAAAATGTGAAAAAATGTTTCGAGGATCAAAAATAATTTAAAATGCTTCACCCAATCGAAAATGAATGTGCCGATTTTATTTTTAACAATAAATTTCCTCAGACTTTTATTGTTAAAAAACGATTCCTCAGACTTTTATTGTTAAAAAACGAATCATTTTTGGAGTTTTTGAGCCTACATTATGAAGAAAAACGTGAAAATAAATTTTAAAGGTTTGGAGGTAGATAAAAATTAAAAACAAATTACTAACCAAATTAGGAAAAAATAAATAAAAATAATTTGATTTGGTATTTATTTTTAACAAGTTTTCTCTCTTCAAACGCTAAAACAGTATTAAATAATTAAATAAAAATGTTTAGGTAAAGCTTTTGGCTTTTCCTTTTTTCTTTCTTTTTTTACTTTTCCCCTTCCTTCCCATTTTTTAGCTCACACATTTTTGTGTTGAGCAACCAAATAATCGATTGAATCGGGTTAGGAATAAAATGAACAGCGGGAGATATTAACTAATAAATGATTTTTAAGTAAAAAATGGATATACAAACATAAATAAATGGATAAAACAACACAGAAAAAATCACGGAATGGGAGAAGAAAAATAAACGTTTTTGTTAAGTAATACAGTTACACATTTTTCATTAGTTTTTTGAAGAAAATTAAAAGACTTAACAAAAATTAACAAAAGAATTTGGAATTTTTATAATATTTTTATTTTCTAAATAAGAAAGAAGTAACAAATTTACTTTGGCCAAATTCATAAATTGATTATAAACTTAATTACAAATTTTGGTATTGAGCCTTGGATGCTTCAAATGTATTCTGAAGATAATTAAAATGTTAGGAATATCGAAAAATATTGATGACCAATAAATTAAATTTTCGTATCGATACCGATAATATCGAGTCCGTTCTCTAAGTTTAAGTAATTTTAGTGAGAGAATTTATAGTTAACTTTAAGGATAACCAAGGTAAAAAATATATTTATTTACTGAAAAATATTAAAATATACAAAATTATTAAAAGTTTTCCGTTTGGCTATTTTTTTATTTTTAGTTTCGCGTAGCAACGGCTTGCTTTATACTTAGTTAATATAAACTTTTATTAATCTTGAAAAAAATATTTAATTTTCTAGTAATTATCAATTAATTAACAAAACAAAACTGAAATAAATATTTTAATTAAATACCTAAATGTTATTTTTATTTATTTTTATATCTCAAAAAATAATTAAAAAAGGAAAATTGAAGAAACAAATAAATTAATAAAATACGAGAAAGGAGAATGAATCATTCATTCATTCGTGATGTAGGTATATTTTTAAATTTCTAAAATGATTAATATATTTTTTTTAAAACTTTAAAATCTTTATTAAAATGTCAAATAACGGCGTTGAACGAATTAAAGAGAAAATTTGATAATTAAAACAATATTAGGGACCATGCTTTAAAAAATCAAATGAATTAGATAAATAATCTATATACACGATGCATATTTTAACTTTTTTTAGTCAAAAATAATCAAAATATCAAGAAAAATACATCTAAAAAATTTTTAAACCATTTTTATATTATTTTTTAGATAAAAATATCTGCAGGAAGTGGGATTCGAACCCACGCGGGCATACGCCCACCAGAATACCCGAACCTGGGCAAGCTTTGCTTGAGTCTGGCGCCTTAGACCGCTCGGCCATCCCTGCACATGATTGGCTGTTAATTATTAACTCTTTTATAATTAATTTTTATTTTCCTTTTTAATTTGATTTTTATATTGTATTTGTTTTAAATACAGTTTTATATTTTATTTTTAATTTTTTTAATTTATAAAAATAAGGAAACTACTATTTATTAATTATTT